AACGGGCCCTTTTTCTAACTTCCTGCTTGCCAACTATTCGTGTCCAAATGTCTAAAAACTGTTAGCGCTACTGAATTTCTTCCTTTTTTGGTGTTTCGTCTCTAAATTTTCTTAGACGCTTTTTTGTGTTGACGTTTAATGACATTGTTTTCAAATTAATTCAAAAAACCGGAACTGCCAACTTCCTTTATTAAAATTACCATGAATGAATTTACTAGTGGTGCCAACGTTAAGACTGTTTGGCATTTCCAGTTCACTTTGAAGACTTGACACCGGTTCGTGAATGAACACATCTCTTGGTTGGTACCGTTCTGCATAAAACGTTTCTAGAGAACGTAGCACTGTCTGTTTTTTTTATTTTCCCGCATTCGCTTTTAAATTTTCATTTGGCGAWAATGCATGTTGCTTTGCTCATCCATTAAAATTTATATTTTCTATCCTTTCATCATCAAAAGTCCTACATTATAATACAATTATTTTTAGCTATTTTATTCGTGCTTACCTTCATACCTCGTTTGCATATCCGGTCTTTTGTCTGTTGGTCGATCTTGCACTTCATATTTCGTGTGGTAGATCCGCGAACTCGCCGCAATAGTCTCGAAAATTAGACAGATGATGAATACGAGTCGACGCCTAACCTCTGCGAGTGGACGATAAATCACTTTGGAGGCGCATTCCTCCGAGACAGAAGCTTACTAAATAATCCTTACACTGTATTATATCATTTAATAGCTGTGTATAAGTGCGACAATCTTATAAAACTCAATTAGACGGGACCTTTCTTTAGTCGCAAAGGAAGAAAAAACGAAACAGAATTTAACTCTTGAACTCGATGGATTTAATTCATTGAGATTAGTCCTTTTGTGACGGCCATAAACGTTTTCGTCGCTCGTTCCCTTATCTGCAGGTACTAATACCATTCCTCTGTGAGATATGTGTCTGTAATTAATTAGCGGGAAAACTCTCGTCTCGACCTTCTACGCGTTCCCTACACTAATTTAATATGTTTGCTATGACGCTTTCATTCGTATATTRGAGTTTGTTTTAGCTTCATTACTGTAGCTATCTGTCAAATAATCAAGCAAGTATTTTTGCTCCTAAATAACCAAACTTTTCAACAKTAAATTAGATGAACTTATTGAAATACCAATAAATTGTCGACTAATGGTTGAAATTAATGGTGAGGAAATAACGTTTGGTGAAAAAGCATAAACAGCAATGTTGCRCTCTGAGGTGATACGAACACCGAAAATAAATTAATCTTCGCACCGTTACTTCGTCAATTGATGCTTTTCTTTCGCGCAAATAAAAATGTTGCAAGTTTCGTTGGAAATTCCCAATTCCCCCAGCTTCGCAACCCCCACGAAACTATTCCGTTTTCCAATAAATAAGTTTATTTAAATTTCGAAGTGGAATTCGATTTAATGTGTTCCATCGCATACGAAGAGCTCATTAAAGCGGGGACTTTGCGGCAAGCGAACCAATTTGCGCATGTGTGCCCTATTAATCCCTGCGGTTGCATTACCGTTACATCCCTCAGTTATTGCCACATTACGACCTAATGCTAAATGTTTTAGATACCTACAGACTATCTGTAAGCTGAGTGCGAAATTATGTAGGAAATCTAGACTTTACTAGGTACGTGCCTCCGAAGCGGCTCAAATTTCAACCCGAAACGTCGCGGCGGCATCCCACAAAATAAATATCCAGCTTCRCTCTTCGACTCCCTCCAACACCTCCTTTCAAAGAACATGTTTAATTTGTGCGTCGAGGAGAAATTGACGCACTTCATCACGCTGAGGGCACCTACACAATTTCGACACGGACAGGTATCAGCGGTGGTAATTGATCGGATTCGATGAAACTGTCCACCGGGCTTTTATTATGGATTCAACAAAGTGAAAAGCCCTGCTGTGATACGTTTCACATGTTGATACAACAGCCGCTCATTACGATAACGACTATAATTAAGGGCAGTATTGATTATGGCTGGTTCTTTTACACAACAAAACTGTAAATATTCCCAGGCGTGGCAGTGAAATGATTCAAATCAAAATTAAGCAATTAAAAAACAAAATAATTGTTTTAAGCAAAACATTAAACCACACAGTAGTGAATATAAATAAATCTTGCTCACTGTAGAACTATTGCTCACAATGCCATCCGACAAATTGTTCGTGAATAATTAAAGTGTCCAGCAATTACAACGATATGAGCACAAACGCGTCCAATTCTGCCAGAGTTCTATGTCAAAATTATCCCTCATTCCGTCTGTGCAAAATTCATTTTTAAAGAGGGTATTACCCGTTGAGGTTCGATAATTTTTCATCGTCCCACTTTCTAATGAATAATGCAAACAAATAATGGCGCAAAGTACAACACCATATTTGCATATAAATTTTCGCGTATGTAGTTATTTTATTTTGCCCTCGTAGCTCGCAGAATTTTACAAGCCGATCCATAACTCACCTGTGGAGTTTCAGGTGGCAAGAATTATTGCGACTACGATAAGATACCGCTTTCAATACCAGCAGACGTCAAATTGAGGTAACAATGTGCCTGTAATGATACTTAAATGACTTTTTAACTTGTAATAAATCATCCGGTTGCATCTGTTCCTCTAGAATTCAATCCGGGGGGAGGAGTATGCATGTTTACATATTCATTTCGGCGCTATTACATAGTTACGAATCTCGAGGCGGAAAACGTCACAAGCGCATACTTTTCGTAATTGAATTGTTTGTAGATGTCCGGAATTATTCCGGGTTTTGATCCCGATGCGTTACGTCAATGCTATCATGATGCATTTTGGGGTTAGGATAGCCGTCTCGGAAGTGGTGATGGCACTGAAACGACCCAAATTGTTGTATAGTTCCGGATAATTTCATTTAAAATTTAACAGAATGCTCCGGGTTGAATCTCCGACGGACATTAGCAGATCCTTTAAAACTTCGACGCAGTTTTAGCAAAAAGCCGATTTCTAGAGGCGGTTGACAAGTTTTAAATTAGCTAAAGCTCAACATGGCGGATTATTTAATGTGTTGGGTGATTAGCCATTGACATTTATATTAGATTATTTTAAAACTTTCCCTCGAAAGCAATTAATTTTAATTAGCTTTTATAACGAAACGTGCATAGTTATGAAATGCTATTTTTTGAAGAGTGGTATTATGTTTGCACGAGGAGATTAATTCGTCAAGTGGGAACAAGGTCCCTCGGGTAATACGAGCAAGAGGTTATTTTATATTAAAAAAAAGAGATAAGCGACATTTTCCAAGCTGAAAATTGAACATCCTGCCTTGGCGCAATTAGGAACCCACTTCATTAAGTCGCTAATTTTGACATTAGAGAAGTCTTGGGATCCATTCCAGACGGAGGCCTCGAAGAAAATTACATTTTTTACAAGACGCACACAGAAATTCTGGGTTATTCAATGGTGGTTCTTAATTGAATTCTGTTTATCTCAAAGCTTTTAATAATAATTTATTCTCAGTTGAAGTATCTTTTTTCTATTCATATTCAAATTATTTGCTTGAAAACGAACAGTTGGTAAAACCGTGCTTGTTTTCCTTTTTTATAAAAAAATTATAATACAAAATGAATAAAATTTTATTCAGACGGTAAACACATTTTTTTAYAGAGGTAAGACTGTTTGCTAATTAATAAAAGTACAAAATAACTAAATATGTATACCTATACAATTTTAAAGAACGTAAGGAGATCTTAAATAACGTAGACTTTCATCGGTTATAATAACACAGAACAAATAAATGTTTTGTCGATATTTGTATGAAACAATAAATGACTTGAAACTTTATTTCCAATCTGACAAGTTGGAAATAAAAAGCATTACAAAGGACATTTAGAGTATTAGATACACTACAATAATGACATCCATTTATTATTGTTCAATATGTCATTTACGACATAAAAAGCTAAATCGCATGTCCCGATTATTATATATTTACTGTAAAACATTTCGTTGCTTTTTCTACAATTCCATGAAAGTATAAAAATTGGTATTCTTTCCGTGACTCGATAAGTACACAAAAGTGCAGACGGTGTATGTAAAATTTTCGTGACTTATAAATGATAAATACGATAAACGTTTATGTTAAAAAAGAATAAACGCCAATTGTTATTTTTGGTGGTAGTAACTAGTGCCTAGTAACCAAATAATTCAACTGTGGTTATTTGAGTTTGATAACTTTGATTAATTGTGTAACGTCAATATTGTTCTGATGCACTTTGGAAGACTTTAGGTTTAAGTTCGTCCCGAGCTCGTTGCCTCTAGAATTCTGAAATGTTCGAAATTGTTGAATAGTTTAGCGAGATCTCATTTAATCCATGAATTCTTGCAACTCAGAGTACTAATTATAATTTCATAATCTCTCTATATATATATTAAATAAGTAACCAAGAAGTAGCATTGGACTGTTTATTACATTTCTCCATTGCAATAGTTTCAATAAGACCGTAATTAGGTTTTGACCACATCTGTCATTTGTTTAATTCAGTGGCTGCACTGTTGAAACACAAAGTGTGAATCCAGAATAATATACGCGCACACAAGCCGACAAAAAAAACATACTAAAAAATGCTCTTAGTTGAAACCATTCGAGTGTTTATTGCGTTTTCGTAGAATGATATGCCTTGGCGTAATCTTGCCACATTTCGAGCCCCATTCTTGGAATGTGTYCCGAAATAAAACGCTAATATTTGCCCTGGAACCCTAATATAGACATCATACATCAAGCTGAAATATAACGGTGACAGCTTCGGCTGCGGTGTCGTCGTGATAAGTTAAAGCAGATGCCAAAGTTGTGACATTTCCTTAACTAAGTAAAGGAAAGACAACTCGTACGAAACAGCCATAACTCAAGCAAGACGGAATGATGGATTTTTTACTGATTTATACGTTTTGGCAAGTTCGGAGTATAATTTTATGCTCCGGTGATTTATGTGTTTGAGGTGAACCGAGGAAAAGTTAAAGGGATTACCTTGAGCAGCTGCCCATAATACCAAGTCTGCGTGTCTCGTGTAAGTCGCTTCGCCTGCTTCGGCACACAGATCGGAGATGAAGGGGGAGATGAGACCGGAGTGTGGCAAAACGACGGTGTAATCCATAGTGTAGTTTGTTCTGCCGAGGTCCTCTTCGGGTGTTCGAATCGTACCCGGGTTCTTCTGACGCAATTTCGACATAGCGTCAGAAGATATGAAGGAGTCTTTGTCGAAATGGAAAATGAAACATACGACTTGGTATTGACTCTGGCCGCGCTCCTCCTCACCCAAGATCAGAGCCTTCACAATTTGCACCTCCTGGAACAACAACATTTTTATTAGTTATCTGCAGGAGTTTTGAATTTCGAAACATTATTCACTATATTTTGTAATAAAGTAATCACTATATTTTGTAATAAAGTAATCCTTTTTAAACCAATATCGTCAACGAAGAGTTACTTTATTAAATTTAAATCGCGATTCGTTCATAACAATTTGTTTTCTCTTCCACTTTTCTTTCCATTGTTAAAAATGTTTTATTACTTGCTCTATCCCAAGTTTAGTAGGTAAATATTCTTCATGAKGCTATACTTTTCATAAAATGAAAGTTCCCGCATAAATGAAGTAAATTGCTGAATTGTAATCGATTTATTTCTAGAATAAAGAGAAAGTAAAATAAGGTAATCGCTTTGATGTTTTTTATTACATAATTGTCATTTCATAAAATTGAAAAAGCCTCTAACAATAAAACTCATTACCATAGCGAGGTTTTAACCTTCTATTAAGAATGTGTTTTCAAAACGATCCCGGTGGAGATTAAGGCACTATGCAGGGCGAATTCTGGCCAAAGCGTTCCTCACTATTAATCCTACTTCAGTTACTTTGAATCCTGTAGAATTATGTAGTGCGGCCGAGCGGCCTAATGCAAATACTAGGATCAAAAACCCTGGATTTCAGGCATTGTACGAGAAAAGCTGTCGGTTCTAGTACGATAAAAACACAATGTAACCGCAAGTATACTAATTAGCCCACAAAGATGGTCTATAACATCAATTCGTGGTGTATAATAGCACGCCACAGACATTACCGTAATCCTACATACAATAGAGAGAGCATTGAATCGATATAGGACCTCTAAAGAGAAACAGAATATTTGATAAATAGTATGCAATAATTGCAACTGTTTAAGTTTCGGGGAAGACAAGACGGAAGTTTATTATGTCGTTAAGTCATTGAAAGTGGATCCCGGAACGGTTCTGACAAACCTAGAATATGCTAGTTACAAGGAGACAGCATTGTATCTATTGTGTTGATGTGAAATCCCTAATAATATGCTAGTAAGCTAGACGGTTGGAGATTTAGTGTCGTGTGTTATGAAGGGATATGGAGTCGATTTCGGTGCCTTGCACACGCGGATGATTGTTTCCTTGACGACTAATAATAATCGAATCACCGTATTCCTCCTTTATCCTCGATAATTACAATCATCCGTTATCGAGGAATGTAATTCCACTACGTTTAATATCGTTATTATCCGCTGTATAAATCTAATTAAGTTAATTAACAGCAATATAAAAGAGAATACGATGCTGGTGTTTAACATATTGGTGGTAATGATGAAACGTCACATCCATCTACTCCAAATGTAGCTTTCGGCTCGATTAATCACATTTGCAGCAATCATCATCAATGAAAGTCCGTTTATTTGTCTAATCAATCTCCTCTGTGAAAGGACTTCAAAGCGCGAGTACAGTAGAGGAGGTTGCACTACAGATTTAATACAACTACTCGAGTTGCCAAAGTGTCGCCAAAAAGTCGATCAAAGACAACTACATCAAAAAGGCAATAGAGCAGGTGCTCTATTGAAAGGTTTCAAGTCTCAACAACATCGGTTTCACTTGAACTGAGTTGACAAGACAAAAACTTTAAACTAACTCATTCTAATAATACAGATGTAATGACAAATTATTATAACTTAAATACTGTAGTAGTTATAAACAAACTTGAAGCTTATTTGCAAAAAATGTTTCCTAATGACTAAAAAACAGTTTTTTTTTGTGCACAAGTACAGCAACCTCAGATTTAAATTGAAAAAACCAGGATATTTAGGTGAAGAAATATGTACTTCACCTTAGTTGTATAGTGTCTTGATGTTCCATTTTTCCTAATCAACTTAAAAATCTTCAAAGTCATAATGCCAWTTTTTTAATTTTTTGTCCTAAATTGCACCAAACAGTTTTTTCTACATTTTTTCCACACCTATTGTCGAGTCCAAGTAATTATTACTTGTTATTGCGATATACACCGTGAACTAACTTTTTCCTAAAAATTTCTCACTGGTTCATGTGTGGAGATGTAAAATTTATTCTAATAAAATCAACATACTATTTGAAAATTTAAATTAAGTGTTAATTGGTTGGAGTTAATTTTAATCAAATAGTTTTTGATAGCGCAAAAGTCTGATAACTTCTTTAATTTTTGATGGATGATGTTTTACTTTTATTCCAAACTTTTTTTATTATTTAACGTGAGACATTTGCTGTACATAACATCGTTTTGCACAAATTTTTAACGTATTGTTTTTTGAAAAATTTATTTTCCTCTACGTTTTCGGTAATTTCCTTCTCTTTGTTGTGTATATTTATGATTTTTTTTTTAAATAGTTTGACAACTATTCATACTGGTTAGCTTTTATCGCCATTGCTAATAAAGTTCTAATCTTTTCGTTGCTAAAGCGTAACTAAAATAAAAAGTAAAGTTGAGTTGAGTATTGCATAGTTTTTACATTTAAAAATGTGACGTTGGTTGTAACTACGCTGCTAAGGGTGATTGATTGATTGATTATAATAATAAATAATAATTCATAAAGGTCGTAGAAAAAAACATTATATTCTACTTGTGAGAAAAGCTTTCTTCATACTCCTGTAATGCACATTTGAAGCACGCCTCGTATGTAACTTAAACACTGGCATGAAAAATTCGCTTTTCAATACATGTAAAACAAATGAATGTTTTCTCAAGTTTTGATGTAATTTTCTTTCTATCTAGTGCAATGTAGTTATCACCAAATAATTATTGAATAATTTTTATAAATATGTAAACTATACTCTTTACAGTTACGAATAGCTTGAATAGTATATTAAAGTACAAGTTGCAGAAAGTACAAATTTGAAATTCCGAAACGAGCCGCGTAGCGGCGAGTTGAGGAACAAATGGGTGCTTGAAGAACCTTCTGCAACAAATGCTTTATACTATTTTTTCTATTTTATATTATATTATAAATTAAAAAACGAAAATTTTATTTTTTTCTTTTCTAGAGAATTTTGCGACGGTTGGTGACATTTAAGTGGAATAATTTTAGGCGGCTGTAAAAAATAAAAATAATTCTTATTTTCACATTTGAAAATGAATTGTGATGAAAGTCCGTCACTAAAATTAAATTAACGCCAATGACTTAWTKCAGCACTCAAATGACGTCATTTGGGTGCTGGAATACTTAGTCTAACACCGAAATAGAAAAAATAATTTATAATTGTTCTAATAATGTTTTTTAAGTTAATTTTAAGATCAAGTAGGTAAATTTTATAAAATTGCAAGTGAGCGTATAGTTACTTGTTGTATAAATAATTACATTTAACTGTTAGAAAACGTGAAGAATTTGAATATCCAATAGAATTTTAAAAATGCACGACAAAGAATAATTCTGCTTTCTGAAATAATTTCCTTTATTATCTTCTGTTAAAAAATAACAATTCAGTTGTGCTTATCAAAGAACTAAGGAGAATGTTTGAAAGTTTTTTTTTAATTTCTTTCTCCCAGATTTCTGTAAAATTGGTCGAGATAATAATTTCCTACCCGAATCTGCGGGTGATGTCAGTTTGTCAATCGTGCCAAACGTCGTTTAACCGACGGTAATCATTTCTTCAAGCAATTTTCTTTCCYTCTACAATCAACTTTCTTATCACGTTCGATTCCATATCAATTCGTTGGTTTGAGTGACCCAATGGCTTCACCCTGCCTCATCTACCTGTTATTATTAGATTTTCTCTTTTTGGTATTTCGTTGATCTCTAATTAAAATGTCAAACTGTGACGGCAGTGTGAGTTCTCCGACCCCTTTCCATCCATAAATTACGATCCGAAGATATTTCAAAGTCGCGAAAAGGCGTAGTTTCCTTTTTGCTCGTCCACGAATAAAACGTAACTCCTTTAAGTAAATTCTTGAACTRTTCCGAAGCAGCGCCCAGTAACTGATTACGTTAGTTGTGTTGATGCTCTGTCACTTTACAACTTCACTGAAGCATGCTTATCGCAAATCGACGTCATGTACACACACGCATTGGATATTCTTCCACAAAGTAAGAATTTACATATGGACACGGCAGTAGCAAGTTTGAAAAAGCGACCCAATCTCCCTTTTTCTTGTCTGTTTGTGTTTGCATGTGTAACGTTCATCAGATGTGATACGGATAAAGTGTACGAACTCGTTTATAAAGTAAAAAGGTGAAAAGAAACGAAACAAACGAAAAAAAAAACACTCTGATTTCACCATTTTTTTATATTCATTTAAAAAAAGAGAGTGTGCTTTTAGGATTCAGTCACGGCAAAAGCTTCCACGTRGTAAAACTAATAAGGAAAGTAAAAATCTGTTTCTCGTTACATCCACATAACTGAAAAAAATTAATTCCACACAAAATTATAAATAGAGTTGTGTTGAGAAYAACATACTAATTGGCACTAACAAACTGTTATAGCTTTTCAAACGCCGCTTAGATAAACAAAGCTCAGTTTGTGAAGAGAAGTTAACCCAAGTTCGGGAAATTGACCTTTGAACTCTAAAGGGTCCAGCTGAAACCAACCTATCATTTTACTTTCTCTTAGCTTACAAAGTTTGCATTCAAAATTTTGCTCAAAAATAAAAAGATAACTGTTAGTTAAATATTACATTAATAGGAATTGAAATAAATAATATAAATTAACATATTAGTTTTCAACCCAATAATGRATGAAATGAATGCATGTTTTATAATAAAATATTACTGAAATAAAAACGTAAAGGTAATGTTATTAATAATATCCATTATTTTTGCTTCTAGCGTTAGAACAAACATAAATACACAGAAAAGGCTATAAATTGAATCAGCAACTGATTATTGCTTGATTACGTTAATGAATTATTTATTAAAGCAAATAAGATTAAATTCCCGAGATGCAAAATCACCACCACAAAAARTGAAATAAAATTCAGCTRTGATTCTACCGTGTGATTTTTGTTCTAGTGATCCATGACACATAATCATCAATGAAACATATCATGTA